ACCGCACCCATTGTCTAGATCAAACCAACGTGACAATATTATTTACCTCCATTAGCGCCATTGCCCGAGTGATGTCCAATATAAATACAGAACATGCGATAAGTAAATATCAACGATGCCAGTCTCTCTTTGAAGCCGCCATTGTGACGGATGGTGGTTAGATCTAATAAACATGTGATCCAACCAAATTTTGTATCAATAAATTTAATTGTTTGTAAGATGTGGTTGTTTTTCTTACGATCTTCTACGTGTCTTCAAATACCCAACGTACAGTTTATTTCATATGAAACAAGAGAGAGAGAGAGAGAGAGAGAGAGAGAGAGAGAGAGAGAGAGAGAGAGTAAATTGCATTAAGTAGGCAAACGGGGAGACAGAAATTGTAGAAACAATATTTATTGGCTGCAAACCAAAAAGGAAACAAAACCAATAAATCACTCATGCCGAAATTTTCGAATTCATTTCTTAGAAGGCGGAAAGTTGTCTGGAAGGTGATCGCTCTTGGTTGATTCATCTGGGAGTTAGAGGTCCGAAACTCCCAGTGACACAATGAACAGACATAAATGATGAGGCCTCCCTCCCGGCTAACCGATAAGGATATGTGAGATTAGTATTATATACTTATAAATTTCTCTATTCAGAAACGATATATGACGGCATGAATCGATGCAAGGTTTAATACTAAGATTATATCTTATTTCTTCGTCTCAATTATTTGAAGGCGTTACCAAATCTTTTCCCAGGAATTGAATACATGTTTTATATGGAACCGGATGAGCTTACATCAGATCATTTATTGGGCATTCCTTTTAAAAAAAGAATCGTTGGACACTTATATATGTATATACACATGCCGAGTGGAGCGACAGAACAACATACGATTAAAAATGATGCATAGACTGACGTATAAATGCGAACACTATATACTCCATAATCTTGCATACATATGACCAATGTTTACCTATAGACTCAAGTATAAACGCGAACAATGTTTACAACATAATCATCCATACATATGACCAATGTTTACCTATAGACTCAAGTATAAACGCGAACAATGTTTACTACATAATCATCCATACATATGTCCAATGTTTACCTATAGACTCAAGTATAAACGCGAACAATGTTTACTACATGATCATCCATACATATGACCAATGTTTACCTATAGACTCAAGTATAAATGCGAATAATGTTTACTACATAATCATCCATACATATGACCAATGTTTACCTATAGACTCAAGTATAAACACAAACATTATTTACTAGATTATTATGCTTATATATGACTAATGTTTATCTATCGACTGAAGTATAAACATGGCAATGATTATATATTCAAGGAAACATACGACCAATATTTTCCTATAGACTCATGCAAACACATGACCACGATGTTTATGTATGCACTTTACTATAAACATGACCAATGCATACTATTGATAAATATAGTGATAACTAATATTTACTTATAGATTCTTATATATTTACCCATAGTTTATAGATTCATGTTTGGAAAGGAATGCCGTTTACCTATAGACACAAGTTTTTTTTTCAATGAGCTTCACCATATAAAAGGCCTGAGAACCACTCGAGATAGAGGGTTAGAGAGTAAAAGGGTCATTTTCTGTGGATACGGTGGGAAGATAACGCTTAACCATGAGCAGGTTAAGATTGTAGTGATCGGTAAATCATCATCTTGGCAGACGCTTCAACACTGAAGTGCTTCGCGGGAAGAAGCTGCACAAGTAGAACACGGTTGGGATGTGAGCCAGGTTTCATACAATGCGCGTAGCTTGGCTGGTCCTAGCCGTAAATTTTAGATCTTGCGGAACTAAAGAATGCAGTTCGTCTGAGCACTTTCTTGTAAGTAGAAACAGAAAAGAGACATACATCATTTCGACTGTGGGAAAAGGTGTTGCAGGGTGGAATATTATTTGTCACACACAAAGATGCTGTTGGACTCTATTGAGACTGGAAAGTAAGGACTGGGCAGCTCCTGTCCAAAAATGCCAGCAGTACTACATTTTCGTCAGCATCTAGCCCTTCTAAAGGAAGAGGATAACACGGGCAGTAAGGCACTTAAGGAGAGGTACGGGGAAACCGACCATTTTTCCTACATCTAGCGACGGATCGTATGTACGAGTTCCACTTGAAGTTTGGGTTAAGTTAAAGGCCTAGTAGTTGCTCAAAGCACGGGTCCTCCCAGTGGAAACACATTTATCGTGATTGGTGGTAGTTCAGGATGTGGTCAGCTATGATGGAATATAACTAGTTTAGTTTTCCAGTTGTTGAATGTAATCCATCGAGTTTTCCCCTACTGAGATGTTAGAGTTAGATTGGAGGAGAGATCAGCTGCCAATCTTTGAATAGATAGTCACAAATGATCGGAGTATACGTTGAGGCAGTTGGTCCGAGAATCGAGCCCTGGAAGATACTTGCGTTGATTTCTAGGACCCCGAAGAACTGGCTCTTAGAAACTAGCTTCAGGGACCTACCTATTATGAAGCATGTTGTAACTGAGACGTCACTTTCAGTGGTTTCATAGCTAGAGGGATTGAGCAGGAATAATTTGTGACACGCCTTGTCAAATGTATTTGGAATATTTAATTCTATGGTCTTGAATATGCATTTTCTGTCCAGTGCCTCACTGATACTGTGAGTAATTGTAGTCAGGACATCAGCAGTGGATCTAGGTGGTTGAAACCCGTACTGCTTGTCGCTCAACAGGTTGTTCTCTTTTAGGTGATCAACGACCTTCTTTTTGATTTTCGCCACCAAATCTTGCTCGTGACACTGAGGAAAATAATGGGTCTATACTGAGAGGGGCATGTGCGACCATACGTGTTCTTGAAAATCAGGCATACTTGAATAAACATGACACCTCCTGAAGAATTGGGAAGAATTTATCTTTCAAGCTGCGGTGAAATAATTTCGTCAAGATCGGGGATAATTCTGGTTTGATATTCTTGAGCACAACAAGTTGGATTTTTTTCTGTCTTTCTTAGGGTTAAGACTTTTGATAAAATCTTGAGACTACCCAGGCTGCAATAATACTGCTGAGGTTGTGATTGAGAGATGGAGGAAGCCGGTAATAGTTTGCCCAATGTCGTCTAATGTTGAGTTAGGATCAAAAACCGAGGCGAACATCTAGCCTTATCTGACAAGGAAAATATGACCTCGGGTGTTAGTTTATTTGTATATATATATATATATATATATATATATATATATATATATATATATATATATATATATAACTAGTGAGTTAGTCCAAATACCTTGACTCGCTTTATAGTCTACCAATAGAAGGTTAACCAATCAGAAGACGCAGAACATTCTATCCGTCGTGTATAAAGGCGGCCATTTTTGTTCACTCTACCCGAATGTCCAGTCTAGCTTGTCAGGCGAAGAGAACCAGAAGGAAGAACTATGCTCTGCTACTTTTATCGAAATATCAACTGCTAACCTGAACAACGCTTTCCTACTGTCTTCGAAACATTCACTGCTAACCTCTGAATTCTATACTCGAAGACAACCGTCATGATTAATAACATCGGGTTCATTGACAATAATGATCACAGATGCGCCGCATCTATAACTAATTTTGTTGATGATCTACCAGAATTCTCGGGATTCAATTTGCTTTAAATCTTGTCCCCGCTTCTGCATAGCTACACTTTGTATTTTCCATAAAAGTCTTTGAGAGATTGAGACCAGTTCTGTATACAGTAAAAATCTAAATACATATTATAATGACCAACGTTTAACTATAGACACAAGCATAAACATGACCAACGTTTAAACATAGACTTAAGTATAAAAATATTTTGATATTAAATAACGCATCAGAGATTGATATGTCATAAAAACCAACCAACAAGCCAGAATTTTTCATTTTTCTTGTCTTTAACCATTCCAGTAATGCTTTCTTTTACAAATATATTTATTATTTCATTATTAAATGAACGTAGACATTTTATACAGCAACTGATATTTTTTATCATCACAGTAGATATCTTTACATTTATTCATCGTAATATCGCTTTTGTTTGGTTAAAACTAGAACATTCTAATGCTTACTTGTGAAAACCTCTTGTTCGCTTTTGTGAGAAATTTGTAAACGGAGAATATGATTAATGTATTATTGTATTTGAAGAATAGCAGGAATTTAAGTCGGTATTGATGAGTGTTGGCAGATGTAATTTTGTAACAAAGCATCACGGTACTAAATCTCATTTATTATTCATTTTACACCGAAACAAGGCAATAGAGCAACTAAGATGCAACTGGTTGCTAAGTGTTAGAGAATAGGAGAAAATATTTTATTAAAGAGAAAAGAGAATAAATGATAACGATTTGATTTGCTTTAAATTTTGAAGATCAATGTTGGCTGGGAAGCAAAAATCCGGAATAGATTTCCACAAGCGAGAAGTGCTATAGAAGAAACTATTAACAGAGAACTTACGGTTACATCTAGAAATTTCAACTGTAAAATGAGGAGACTTTGTCTCCAATGTAGTACTGCGTTGAAATTTATAAAGTTAAGGTCCGACAAAGAAAAGATCACCTAAACAATTTACCATGAAAGTATTTACATATATGGCGCTGGGTAGATACGTTACGACTGTGTTTTTTTTTTCATTAGAAAGTTCCAAAGTGAAGAATATATATTTTTAAAATTCAAAGTATCTGCTTAAGTTGACATTTCTCGAGTTAATAGTCAGAATAAAATATCCTGAAGCAAAATTGATTGATTCATCCATTATGTACGGCTCGTTTAAAACCAGAAAATATTTTTAGATCGTAAGGATTTTTATTAATGAGATAATAATAATAATAATCGTTTTAGTGATACGAGTTTTACTAATTAACCCATACCTTTCCCAAAGTGTATTTGATCGTAAGTGAATACAACGAACCCAACGGGAATTGGAACACGGCTCTCCGGCGAGCAGTATCGAGCCGTTATCCATTGCACAACACGCACATCCAGACTGACAGCAACTGGTATTCTCTCGTGGCCACCCATTTATGTGCTGAGCAAGCTCAACGTTGCTTAACTTCGGTGATCGTACGGGAACCGGTGTCTGTAAGCACCCTATGGCAAGTGGGACAGAGTAAAACATCTCATAACGTAATTAACGAACATGTCTAAATGGCTAACAGACAGATAGCAAAAAGGTAAACTTCATCAAGAGCTACAAAGGAAAGGAAATTGTGGAAAGCAATGATCGTCCACGTTCTGAAGGGATACGGTGCTTTAGAGGAGGTGGAGGTGGGAAGAAGAAGAAGAAGAAGAAGAAGAAGAAGAAGAAGAAGAAGAAGAAGTGGTAAGTGGAGCTGGTGAATTGCCAATGTGTATCAGTTCGAAATACTGCAGGCAGAAAACTAATACCGTGATTGACGTCTAAGGTCAATCTATAAGTTGCTCCAGGGAAGTAAGATTCTATTTGATTTTGAAATTCAAACAAATCATTTTATACAGGTCATGAGACCAGATGTTGTTATCGTAAAACGACGGGAAGATATTCTCTGGATGAAAAGCCGAGTCTTCATCGAACTGAAAAAGAAAATGTGAAATAAGCTGGAAAAAGATTTTACTAAAGAAAAAATAATGAAGAATAGATAGGAAATAAACTTATTACACATCATTATTAGTCGCAGTCTCGATTTATGAACGAGTGTACCTGTGCCGTCAAATATGACAGCTTATTTTTTACCCGCCACAGTTATGTTGTTGCTAATTGGCTTCAGTGAACGGAAGATTATTTACTCTATGAACTCTTGTCCTAGTATGACGATAAACTACATCCGGCAGCAAGGCGTCTGATTGACAGATTGGAAGTTTTGAGGAGCGTAAAACGACATCTTAATTACTGTTGTTCACTGACCTGGGGTGACAGCATCTATGAGAGTCCAAGCTATGGAAAAATTGTGTTTTGATATTTGTCTGGTGGTTCACTAAGTACTAAAAAACAGTATAGGAAAAATACCAGCAATATATTTATAAAAAGATTTTATCATTTACAAACTATATAAGTAAAAAATCATACGTTTGCCTTGGAAGTATTATATACAAAACATCTGTAGTGGAAGCCATATAATTACGTACAAAATAGATTTCGGTATTAAATCTTTTGAGGATGATATGTCGCTAAACAAAAGGATCCAACTCACCAAACAATTCTATAAACTCTGTTTTGTGCTTTTCTCTCCGTGCCATTAATCTCCTTTATTTATTTGCTCTTCAATTTCCGGTCCAAAATTTTCTTCAATTCCCATTCCCATATTTTGTCTTCTTGTGTTAGATTCTTCCTCACGTATCATTTGGAATCCTTTCAGCTACACGTTCTCTCATCGCATATCTTCTTGTATTAGCTTCTTCCTTTGTTTCATTTTTTATTATTCTTCGCGTCGGTCTCTCTCTTTCACTTTCTCTATCTTTCTTTCTCTCACTCTTTCTCTCCCTCGCACAGCGTTCTTCTATCAACTTTAGTCCGTTTCTGAGCCTAAAACTTGTCTCAGTCAATCTCAGGACTGCAACCAGAACTAGAATAATGTCTGCATGAGCCGCATTTTTTAGAAGAAATTTTCCATTGCAGATATTGAACCTACCTGTCAAGTTGAGTTTTACTTTCACTCTACGCTAATATGGTGCAACCTGATACAAAATATTCAATTGTTTCTGGATATTCATCACAGCATCTGCATTTGTGGTGGACATAAGTTTTCAGTATGTTTCCAGTTAGCAATCTTTGGTCGGGTGTAGCAACAACACAAACACTTCAGTTTCAGGTTTTAATGTTGCACTATGTGACCACTTATGGGTAAGCAGTATTGTACAAGAAAATATTGTCTTTGTAATTGTTTCCTTGTTTTACCATTTTTTTAGATTCTTTGTCGATGCAAAATGTAATAAATCTTAATTAACCTTTTCATCCACTTAAAATTCTTTTGAATTTGTTAGCTTATTTATTGCTAATACCGTTTCTTCTTCTTCTTCTTCGTCTTCTTCTTCTTCTTCTTCTTCTTCTTCTTATTATTATTATTATTAAATGAGGGAACAGAACAATGTCAAAGGATCGCTGTTGTAGAAAGATACAACTAACAATATAGCCATGATGACACCCAATGACATATGGATATATCCGCTACCTTCTTATTAATATCATTATTATTAGACAATATTAGTATTATTACACTAGTTTCCTATATTTTTCCAAATAATTTAGGACAATTTTTACCGCTAAATAACATCCATTTCTCTCAATCAGGTTATGTTTTTGTGCTATGTTGAGTTTTTAAAATCCGATCTTATGACAAAATCAATTGCATTTTTGAGACATTATTGATTGAATTTTGTTAATATTTCTCGTACAAAATAAGTTTTTAAGAGAAAAAATCGTTTTCTAACAATCATTAAATGTGACAAACATCGATAACAATAAACTGAATAGTATCCATTGATAAATCTAAATACATGTAAATTGCATGTTATGTCATTAGTATTCAAAATTCAAACCTACCTTATTATTGTTATTATTATTATTATTATTAAAAGTGTATTTGTGCCATCAAATACGACATCTTATTTTTATCCGCCGCAGTTATGTTGTTGATAATTGGTTTCAGTGAACAGAAGTTGATTTGCTCTTTGAATTCTGGTTTGTACATTTCTCTTGGCACCAGTATTCTTATTCTCTCTGTTTATTTACTCTTCAGTTTCCGGTTCAAAATTTTCTTCAATTCCCTTTCCTATTCCCATATTTTCTCTTCTTTCGTTTTATTTTGTATCATGTCAGCCTCACGTTCTCTCATCCCATCTCCTCTTGTATTAACTTCTTCCATTGTTTCATTTTGTCTTTGCGTTTTTTTTCTGTCACCTACTAACTTATTCTTCTGTTTCATTAGTTCGCCTCTGAGCCCCGCATATCTTGGCTTGTCTTCTTATTGCTTCACGGCGTTACTCCGATGCCTGTGAATATCTTTGTTCATCAGCCTCTCGCCATGCCTGTATCTGATCCTAAGATAGGCGTAATCACTGAGCATTTTCGTTCTCGTTTTAATCTCCTCCTTTCTTCAAGGGCATTTCCTTTTTTATGATGTTCGCTCAGGTTTAGTAGAGAGAACAATGTAGTCTCGACCAGTTGCAGTAATTGTCTGAACGCAACTCTGTTTCGGACTGCCTCTGACTTGACTCTTGACTCGACTTGATCTACTGACTCGACTTGAACTACTCCCGAGGCGCAGTATTTAGTAAGTATGGAATACTCGATTATTATTATTATAGTTAAGATTCCATAACAATTTAATTCTGCATTTTTAGAGGAAATTAAAGTTAATTCTAAATTTGTACTTTGTGTTAAATCTTGGATACCAATGTAAAACTTAAATGTATTTAAATAATATGAAAACTTTAATTACATTTACAATTTTGATACTAAATGTATCTCTTAATCGTTATTCTCTTATATATTTAGTATGTAAAAGGGCTGGATTTCAGATCATTTCACACGCGAATCTCTCCCGAGGGTATATCATGGGTCCTACCCTACTTCTGATCTTCAATGATCTTCCCAAGTAGGCATTTATGCTGCTGACACTACCACTTATTCCAGTGTCAATAGAAAATCCGTTCGAGTTGACAAACTTAAATTGGCCGCTGCTCTTGAAAAGGACCTCAAATCTGGTTAACAGGAACAGGAAATAGCTCGTAAATTTTAATGCTTCCAAAACAAATCTGCTCTCTTTTAACCACCATATAGGAAACATTCCTGCTCAAAATCATCATAGCTGATGCTCACGCAGAGCAACACACTATGCCTTCTTGGTCTCATGTTTTCAACTGACATAAAATGGACGACTAAATCGAATCAATATCTTCATCTACTGCAAGGAAATTTGGGTCACTGTGCCGTGCCAGAAGTTTTTATCGTCAGAGACCATCTTGCACATTTACAAGTCTAGCATTCGTCTGAGTATTGAATACTGCTGACATATTTGCTTTGGTGCTCCTGCTATTCATCTTGAGGTTCATGACAAAATCCAAAGAAGGAGCTTAAATCGACCCTGACTTGGAATCCCGAAGTCAGGCACTTTATCATCGACGTGACGTGTCTTCCCACTTTTTTTTCTATAAAGAAATAAGAGTACTACTAGATTGGCATATAGGTCCCACTGATTTTAAAGTTTAATTGGGGATATGTAACGGCCACTTTTAACCCAACAGTTTCTTTTCTCGCCATCCCCGTCTGTGGAACTCCATTCCGTTTCCTTGCTTCTCTGATAACTACAATCTTCTAAAAATTAAATGGCACGCCAATCACCATCTCTTATATTCTTGAACCCTGTTCAGCGTTTATACTTTCCTCAATCCCCTCTATATCCAATCTTTTCTCTCCTATTCAATTTTGAGCCTCCTCCGTACTAGTGTCTTTCTCGTCATTCTTGTGGTGAAATGATTAAAAAACGTGTTTATTCTACGATACTCTAATTCATATCTTAAGATACAATATATAGTAATGAGGCATTTTATTAAAAATGCCGTGATATATTTGTTTGAAACTAATTGTTACTTCTAAATAAATACAGTGGTATCTATAATTCATTGATTGCTCTTGCTATTATATAAATCACATTTTCTTCAATATATTTTAATGGTAAATGATTTATGTGTTTAATATAACAGGGAAATATAAATATCACTCTGAAGAAAAAGATTAGCAATAAAACAAAAAAGAAGACAGCGACCACAAAGCCTATTTCAAGACCAAGTTGAAGCAAGGTGATTACTTAACAGACAAACTATCTGATTCCCTCACATGAAAGATTTGAATAACTAAGGGTAGACAAATTCATTAATTAAATGGTTAATTTTGAGCGGGAACTAATTTTGTGTAAACTCAGATTATTTGCATAGATTATTAAAACGACCCTGTTAAGTAATCGTTCATAAATTTACTAGGTGAATTTATCTGCCTTTCCACTACAGATGAGACAGGAAATATATAAACAAATACACATTGATAATTATGTATGGTTTGATAATAGAGGGTACATAGGATTATTAATGGATTTTTTATGTTTAGTTATTAATGGGACATTCTATAAAGCATTATTAAGGGAAATGTTTTTGTAACTTTATAAATGGAACGATGTATGTATTATTACTAGAGTAACAATTTAGGGAACATCATGAACGGGATGTTTTTCGTATTCACATTCATGGAACAATTTATGTTTCGGTATTAGTGTAGCGTTTTATGAAGTATTAATAAGGGAACGCTTTTCGTATCATTATCAATGGAATGATTTGTGTTTCAGTATTAGTGTGCCGTTTTTATGAAGTATTAATAAGGGTACGCTTTCCTCATCATTATCAATGGAGTGATTTATGTTTCGGTATTAGTGTAACGTTTTTATGAAGTATTAATAAGGTAACGATTTTCTTATCATTATGAATGGAATGATTTATGTTTCGGTATTAGTGTAACGTTTTTATGAAGTATTAATAAGGAACGTATCATTTCAATGATGAGTATTATTAAATGAAGTATTAATAAGAAAACGCTTTCCTCATCATTATCAATGGAATGATTTATGTTTCAGTATTAGTGTAACGTTTTTATGAAGTATTAATAAGGTAACGATTTTCTTATCATTATGAATGGAATGATTTATGTTTCGGTATTAGTGTAACGTTTTTATGAAGTATTAATAAGAAAACGCTTTCCTCATCATTATCAATGGAATGATTTATGTTTCAGTATTAGTGTAACGTTTTTATGAAGTATTAATAAGGTAACGATTTTCTTATCATTATGAATGGTTTTGTTTCGGATTAGTGTAACGTTTTTAATAAGGAAACGATTTCCTCATCATTATCAATGGAATGATTTGTGTTTCAGTATTAGTGTAACGTTTTTTTTATTAATAAGGGAAGATTTATTATCATTATGAATGGAATGATTTGTGTTTTATTAGTGTAACGTTTTTATTATTAATGGAATGATTTCAATGGAATGATTTATGTTTCAGTATTAGTGTAACGTTTTTATGAAATATTAATAAGGGAACGCTTTTCGTATCATTATCAATGGAACGATTTATATTTCACTATTGATGTAAGCATTTATGAGGTATTAACAATGGAACGAATTTTGTATCATCAATGGAACGATTTATTTTTCGGTATTAGTGTAACGTATTATGATGTATTAATAAGGGAACGCTTTTCTTATCATTATTAATGGAGCGATTTATGTTTGAGTATTGGTGTAAATATTTTATGAAGTATTAATAAGGGACCGATTATTGTATCATTATCAATGAGACGATTTATGTTTTGATATTAGTGTAACGTTTTGTGGTGTATTAATAAAGGAACGTTTTTTCGTATCATTATCTATGGGACGATGTATATCTCGTTATTAGGTTAAAATTTTATGAAGCATTATTAAAGGAATACTTTTGTGTCATTTTCAATGGAAAAAAAT